GGTTGTCAAGAGCTGGTCACCTGGGCTGGGAGGGGCATGTGACTCCCTGGGTTTAGTGTCATCTCTGTTGTGCAAATGAGCTGAGAACTAGAAAATTCCCCCTGGCTGGAAACTCTGACTTAGTGATGTGTCTACTTGGGGTTTGAGCTTTCAAATAGGAAGTAGCAGCTGCTGTTGGAAGATGCTATGCAAGGTAGATGGGTTCCCCAATAGTGGCACCTGCCATTGCGGTCACTAGGCTCCATGGCTCTAGCTGCCAACTGAACAGTATAGTAAAGAGGAGTCAAGACTTGTTTAAAGGCAAACCAGCCAGAATGGTTTGGTGATGAATATTTTGGAAAAAACGAAAAAGATAGAAAAAAAGTCAAGGGAAGCTTTTAGTTTTCTAGAAGCCAGAGCCATAGAAACTTCCAGGCTGGTGTTGTTATCAGGGAGGGAGGACACATCTCAGTCAATTCAGACCAAAGTTAGTTTGAATTACAGGAGAAGAACCTTCTGGGCCAGATAGAGAAGGGCCTTCCTTAGGCAGAAAACCCAGAGACCAGAGTAGAATCCTGTAGGATCTGTTGTCCTCAGGAGATAAAATAATGCTTTGTCATGGGTCAGAGGGGTGATGGGGTGGAAGGTGAGCAGGTGTGAGGCAGCAGGTCCTGCAAGTTTCTGAGAATCTCTGTATTGTGCTCATCAGTGATGCCAACTTGAATGATCCTGGAATGTAAATCTAAAGAGCTTTACCAGCATTCTACTCAAATTAATTGGGTCTCACTCCAGAGCAAAACCAGGAGAACTAGGAAAGGAGCCTTTCTGAAAGCAACACTATTACCTTTCTTTAAAGACAAAGACCAAATATTGCCAGTATTCTACAAGTCAATAATTCCTAATGATTTCTTGTGACAGCTGCAGTTTTGCTCGTTGCTTTGTTACTCTCTGTCAGCTTCCTGGACCAGTGCTGCATGTTAAGGAGCACAGGGCTCCTCAGTCACCTCACCATCAACAGGTGATCTAAAGAATTAATGATGATTCAAAAAACAAAACAAAACAAAATGAACAAACAAAAACACAAAGCAAAAAGTAGACTACTACCTTACCAACATCAACGAAACATCCAAGCAACGAAGTAGAAGGCTATCCAAAATGTGGACATTAGAATATTTACTATTATTCTTTATGAAACAAATAACTACAAAAGGAAATTGTGAGCAATTTTTTTCCAGCAGGCTGAGATCTCAAGAATGCCTGCTCCCCAGTTTCAGCAACCACTAAGTTTACACTTTTTTCCTGGTTTTTATTATTCTGGTAATATGAATTGAAAGAAGAAATAACAATACTGCATGGAGAGAACCCAAACCAAATAAATCTAAAATATGTAGTAAATGCTTCCCCCCATTTTCGTTCATTTTGGATGCTGCTACTAAACATTTAAGTATTATAATTTAAAAAGAAATTTTATGCCTTTCTTGTTCATTTCTAGGGTGAGGAGAAGATAACATTTTTGCTTTTTTATGACTCTCTTTGAAAATGTGCAGCATAAAGTTCCTCAAAAAATTTTTGCCCTTAAAGGAAAAAAAAAAAAAAAAGATTGTTCCACCACATAACACTCAAGTCACCTCAGGCTTACCCTCCCCGAGCCTCAGGTTTTGCATCTGTGCTGATCTCGTGGTTGACATTATGAGGATCAAGTGACAGAGTATGTGTAGACGTTTGGCATATTATCAACACTTAACACTTATTAACTGTTGGCTATTAATTTTTATAAACCTGAAGGGGATTTTTATTTTGAGATTTATGCTTCCCATAGGCCTGGGGGAAGAGAAATGCAGGCCAAAGAGTAGGTGGCAACAGTGAAAGAGTCACACAGGCAAATCTCAGGGTCTGTGGGAAAAGAAATGATAAGTTGCCTGTCATCTATATTCTCCTGTCAACATAGAAAGACAATAAACTCCACCAAAAACCTCAGCAAAAAAAAACAACAAAAACACACAAACCTCTATAAAGGGAGCACAAAAGGAAAATGATGAGGAAGGCTGATTTTGTAACTCTCGGCCTATGAAGAAAGCTTCCATTTGATGACTTATTTGAATCAATACTGATTGAAGAAAGAGAAATCACCAGAAAAACTAGAAAAACAGGGCAAACGAAGGAGTGTGAGGAAGCCACACAAACCATACAAAGGAGAGGTATGCACAAATGAAGTTGTATTCCATGAAAAGGTGTAAATTTATAAAAGGCATGTAGGTACATATACAATCATAATTTTGTAAAACAGATACTCACAATAATAATAATGAAAAGAGATTCCGACACGATTAGAATATATTGTTCAGGAAAGTTTTAAAGATACTTAAATTCAATGTAAAAAGTAAACAAGGCACTACAAAATAGTTTAATATTATTTAAAAATTGTTTTTGTTATTATTGTTTTACTTCACTTACAGTCTATCAATTTCTATAAGTAGATGTTCCCTAATTTTGATATTACCTATAAAGGCAATAATGAACACATTTATAATCATAATTAAAACTAAACCACCAGAACTCTTTGGGTGGGATAGGATGCTGGTTATGCCAAATTGGGACACGCAGGATATCTGAGAGACTTCTCTGAGAGTACTTTTTTAAAAAAATAATTCCCATCTAACTCTCCCCCAATCTAGTCTTCCTTTATGACCCTGGAATATCTTACACTTCTCCAAATGTGGCCCTAAACTCACTGTATTATAAGTTCCTGTTGATTTTCCTCTCTCTCTCTCCTTTGGACGACAAACTGAAAAGGTAGATGATAAATACTTGTTGAATTAATGAAGTCAACAACCATTTATTGGATGCCTAGTGTATGACAGACACTGTTTTTGGGGATGTAGCAATGAGCGTGAGTGCATAAAGAATCTCTGACTTCACAGAGCTTTCATTCTAGTGGGAGGAAACAGATAATAACAAGAAAATAAACATCTGTAGTGCGTCAATGGTGATAAAAGCCATGGATAAAACTAGAGAAGACGTGTGGGGAGCACTCGGGTAGGGGACGAGCACCAAGCAGAGGAAATAGCAGTGCAAGTGCCCCGGCCCAGCCTAGGCTACACACTTGATGTGTTGCAGGAGCAGGCAGGCGAGGAAGCAGTTAGAGGAAGGTAGTCAGAGATCAAATCAGAAAGATAAACTGGGTTACAGATTGTATAGGACCTGGCAGGTCGCTGTAATAACTTGTTCTTTTTCTTTTCTTCCAAATTATTTAAGAGTCGACGGGAGGGTTTGAGCAGAGGAGTGATATGATCTGGCTTTTCATGTTGAAAGGATGACTCTGGGTGCTGGGAAGAATTAACATGAGAAAGCAAAGACTAAAGTAGCGAAAACAGTTGTAATTATAATAATCCAGGGAAGAAATTATGGTGGCTTCACCATGGAGGGATTGCACAGATTAGGGTCTGGAGTCACTGATAA